GGGAGGTGGTGAGGCGTGTGGATGGGGGGAGCATTGTTAGGGAATTAGTGGAGAAAGCGTCCTCGCTGGTTTTGTTGCTATGGCGAAGCAGGGAGTATATGCAAATGGCAACTGCGTGAAACTCTCATTTGGCTTTTATTTACTGGTTTGGCAATGCAGTAGTTTTGTTGTAACTTATTTACTGGTATTACTTTTATTTATTCCTCACATTTACTGGTACTGTATACAGTCTCTCCTCTACTTACGACGGGGTTCCATCCCGACGACCAGGTCGTAAGTCGAAAAGGCGAAAATAATACATAGAAATTCTAAAATGGGTGTCTCTTTTTCTTCTCAGCACCACAAGAACTCTCACTTTTATGCTTGCTAGCCATTTTAAAGGGAATTACAAACGAAAATTATGTCAGTACACAGTGCGATCACTAACGTCGGGACTCGAAAATACGTATTGTGAAAAATATTTTATACGACCATGGCCATTGTATGTCCGGGTTGTCGTAAGCCAAATATGTCGTAAGTCGAGGAGAGACTGTATATTATTTTAAGAAAACTGTGGCTACAGGAGGAAAATACACACAAAAAAAATTTCTCCTAAATACTCAATGCTAAGATGGGGGCTGTCTTATATGGCCATGCATCTTATAAGCCATAAAATATGGTACTGTATTTTTTATGTTTTTTACATCATTATTTATCATTTTCATACATTTAGTACATTTGCTGGAAGATAAGGACAATCAGCTTTTTCAAACAGGTGGTCCCTCCGTTTAGTTAGGATCTTCGAGGGTTCACTGTACACCCATGTCTCATTTTACGCGTGGGTTACATTCTTGAAAATCACCGCTTAATTAAAAAACGCGTAAATTAAACATAATTTTCCCATAAGAATATTTAGTACATGTAAATGGTACAGGTTAGGGGAACCATCATATACCGTACAGGGTACAAACAGTGCTCTCACTTAAACCAGGGAGGGAGGGAGAAAGGGAGGGAAGGAGGGAGGGAGGGAGGGAAGTGACAGTGACATGTTTGACAGTTGCGCCGAAGGTCTAGTGAAGTATATATTTGTTTATTTATGTCCTTTAGATTGAGGTTTTGTTTTTAGTTTATAAAATGTCACAGAAGTGACCGGAGAGAACATAATTTACATTGCTGGAATTCTTATAAGAGAGTGATTAATTTGAATATAATCATGCTATAGCTTGCACTAGACAAAAATTTTAGTAATCATTTAGTACATTATTTTGAGTACATGTACAGTACAGCTTTGGCCTTAGGACAGTGTAGAGTGCCCAGAGAAATTTTAGGCGCGAATTTTAAAATATGATGCACCAGATTGACTCGCGCAAAATGAGAAAGATTTGTTTTAAATTAAAACATTGTCCCCAATTGTGGGTGTTGCTTTATATCAATAATCTTAAATTGAATAGCTTTAAATCGACGTTCTACTGTATTCAAAAAACGCTTAAATCAAATGAGTGTAAAATGCGAGGTACCTGTACTTAAAATAATGTTAACAAAATAAAAATAAATAAATATATATATAAAAATAAAAATTACGTACATACGAAAAATATAACCCATCCCCCCCCCCCGGTTAAGCAAATGATATTCGTGGATTTGGCAATTCGTGGCCATTTTGAGACCCAAACCCTCGCGGATTTTAAGAGCATGTTGTAAAGATATGGTAATACATGTGTTGGAAATAAAGGTATAGTAATACAGAAATATCTCTGTGAGCCGGAATCCCTCTTAACGGTAACTCTCCAATAGCCGGAATTGAAATTTGAAAAAAAAATTCTGGAAAAATTTTCAATTGGTGTGTGTGTGTGTGTGTGTGATGTCGGGGTGTGTGGGTGGTGTTGAAGGGAGGCTGGGGCAGGTGGGAAGCGAGCCTTTTTGGAGTGTGGGGAGAGGGTAGCACTGTCAGTTTTCTTTAGGCTGACTTTCCTCCTACCTCACTCAAGCATCTGCTAATTGTGATAGGGAGATGAATTTGATAACATAATGATCCTCAACATATTCTCTATGAGAAGTTTCCAAAAAGATATCCTTAAACAAAATATTTTGATATGATATAATGATGGGAATTCCATTCTTTTATAAAAAGTAAGAAATGTTGATATCAGAGTTTAATAAAGTCAGTTCTATTTAAGTTAGACACACCATTTTTTCAACAAAACAATCCTGAATACTTTATCTAAAAGTTTGATTTAATATATTAAAAAGAAAAGAAAAACGATCTATATGACATGGGTGTGAATGGAGCTGTGTGTTACAGACAAGACAGTGTGGTACTTTCCACGAGTCTAAATGACACATCTCGCAGGGAATCTGGCTAACAGAGATATTACTGTAATATGATAAATACACAAAACACGTGAATTTAACTCACCACAAACGATGATGAGTGCTGCGTGAGGTTAGGTGATACAATGGAAATTACTGGGAGATGTAGCAAGCCCTAATGTTTTGCAATCTGGCTAATTTTTTCTTCCACATCAAACTCCATAAAACATCAAGTTTTACATCCAACGAAATTCCTTTATAGGATCTTTTAGCACCATTGCTTTCACTTGCACTTGATGGCCACCAAGAGAGATCAAGCATACATGCTGGGAGATATAAAATAACTAATTCCAGCGGCGTGGGTGTGCTGCGTCCCCATACTTGTTGGTAGCAAACACCAAGAAATCCACAGCATAAAAATTACTATATGTCTGAATTTTTTTTTCTATTTCGCGATTTTAGCGTTAAAATTTAACCCATTTCCGTAAGGTTGAATTTATTGGCCGTATCCTGAATTTCGTGGTCATAATTTACAAATTTCATAATGGGTAAATAAATTTCTGCAACCTGAGTTTCTGTAAGGTGGTGGATACCTGTACAAACAAATGTAAAATAATATATATATACACACACACAGGATTACATTCAGGCATAAATGCATACACATAACTCTTTGGGTGGTGTGCATGGTGGGTGTGGCACGGTGGTTGTCGTGTGGGAACACACAGGATTAGTAAGGCACAATAATCACGTATCACTATCTCTGTCACATGGTGGGAGTCACTACACTGCAGACACGTAATCCATGAGTTCCTCGCTGTCATCATCATCGCCTGTGACCACCTGTATCTAGTGGTTTTGTGAGGTCTTTGACAATGTCGACCAATTTCGAGGAGGAACTTTGCCTTGTCTGCCATCACCACGAACTTTCGGTTGACAATCTTTTACATAAATAATTTGTTCAACCCTACAAACTACAGTAGTATTGTTTCATGCTTCCTGGCATCGAACACAAAATGCAATATGTGTGGGAAGACAATGGGATAAAGACAACGGTTTTGGCTGTGGTGGTTTTAGCGTAGTTGTGGTCTGCATAGCTTCATATGCATAGTAAAGGTAATGTATCAGAAATAAGAATATTCATCAATTTAGATGTAGAATACAGTAGTACAGTATTTATAAAGCAACACTCTGTCTAAGTAGAAACTGATAAGTCATCAAATTTTATATTCTAAGAGAAATTTTATATTCTTTCAGTTTTTACGGATTTCTATTAAACAATCCATTCAATTCCACAAGTTGTGGTTTGATTACCAATACCAAGTCTGTGAAGTCCTGTAAATTTCCCCAACAAGATATGTTTAAGATAGTAAAAGGCTTCCCAACGGTCATACTAACAATCACAACAATCAAAAGAGAAAACATTGTGAAAGGCACAACGTGAAAGAAAACTATACAACTTTATCAATAACAACCACCTGGAAAGAATTAAAGAGTCCCTCAATGTTTCAAAATACAGTACAAATAAAAGTCTTTGAATGTAAAAGTCATACACTTTATGTCATATATTATAAAATACATATTCATGGTGCAAGTGAAAGAATACCTAATGACACTAGACAGAGAACCATTTGAATATAATGAACCTAATGTTATTAAGTTCTTATAAATCCCTGAGGAACAAAGTAAAAATAACAAAATCAAGTGAAATGGTTCACCAATACAGGAGGATAAGGGCATTAATTCAGGCTTGTGGGAAACTATCACAACTAGTGACACCTATTTAGACAGTCAAGAAAACAAGATAAACTCAATTAATTTTGTTACTTGCAATCCCCCAGAGGAATTCCCAGTTTTAGTATAGGTGACACTATGGAAGTATATAAGATTCTCCTAAACATTCAATAGGTCAATACAACAGTTCCAGCCCAATTCACAGGGTTACGTTCCTACAGACCTATGATGAAAATGGAAATAATGTAAATTCAAATGTAAAAAAAATATGATCTTAAAATTCTATCACCCCAAAAAGTAATTCAAATTTCCAGTGATTATGATGACAGAATGTTATTCACTTCAATTGTAATATGATAACGTTGAGCCAAATCAAACTTAAATCAGACTACATTAAGCCTGTGGTTCCACCAGAAGAGAGCTTTAGCTTTAAACTTTTAATATAAGAACTTCTTCCTTTACTACCTGTATTTACAAACATGCAGTCGAGACAACCTTTAGGGCATTCCCAAAGCAATATGGCTCCCCTGGCATTAATATACTGCACAAAAATATCATGCATTTACCAGCTTTAATCATCAACAGACATTTCATTACAACAAGCCTCTAACCAAAAACAGAAAATACAGTACAATAATGGATTTTTGAGGTTCAGTCACAGTTTAGAAATATGGAAAAATAACACTGAAGCATGCCCATTACCCAATAAGTACAACCACAAGGAAGCTGCCTTTCTTTTCCAAATAAACATCAAACTAACTTTGGACACACATGCAATATATTTATTACAATCAATCCAGCAAAAAGAAGGCATATAGACTAAACTTGGTAGTGCAGCAGTACTGTATATTATATATTTTACTGGACATATTAAGAAATTTTTATGAAGTGAAGAATAAACTCTATATTACAGCAGTACATGAAAGCACAGAGAAATTATTTTTATAAGAAATTTTCAATCATTTACACACACACACCTCTTTCATTTTGAAGAAGGCTGCACCTGTAAGAAGTGAATCTGACCCAGCTTGATGCTGAGGGCCCACACGCTCCAGTTCTAGTTGTTCTGCAACTTCCTGCAGTCCTCCTTTCAGGTTCTTGCAGGATTTCATCAGGTACTGTAAAACAACACTCTTTTATCTTTAAATATCACATATAAACATACAAGGGGTGGCCAAAAAATTTGCAAACCAGGTTTATAATACACAGGCAGAATTACAACTCTTATTTCAATAATGTCTCCATTGACTTCGTGTCCTCAACCTAATCATGACAATTTTATAGAAGTTTTCCAACTACAGTACACCTACACTCAAGCCTCCTTCAGCTCCCCAGCATCCTGAATGAGGCTCCCTTGGAGGTGGGACTCAAGTTTTAAAATAGATAATAGTTGCTCGTGACCAGATCTAGGCTGTAGGAAGTGTTGCTTGAAATCACATGGATTCATGGATCAGAGTACAGTACGTAATGACAAGTAGCAGGCAGGAGCATACCTCTAGTCAGCATTCCTCAAAACCGTACCAGCAGAGGGCTGACTTCTAAACTTGGGGGTAGGACAGTTTGGCTACTATACTTCCATAATTCTATCTTTCATTCCAAGGTCCAGTGATAAATCCAGCTCTCACCTGCCATCACCAGATGGGAAAGATAGCTTGCTAGAGCCCTTTAATTGAAGGCCAAACTGTATATGCTAGCAAAATTCTAAAACCACTATAACATACCTAGACTTATAATAACCAATGGAATAACACAAACAAATTATAAAATTAATGGCTTGAACTAAAAAAGTACAGTAAGTAATTTGGGAAACAATTCCCATAATTCCATTTTTCTTCAATTTATCAGCTTTATTATTATTATTATTATTATTATTATTATTATTATTATTATTATTATTATTATTATCCAAATTTTATTTCACCAATGTAAAGCTTAAAAATTTCTGCTTTTTTGTTGTGCAGTACAGTCTGCATTTACGCGGTCAATTGAACCCGTGGGGGTCTGCATAAAACGAGAAACGCGTAAACGAAATAACAGAACATATGGGATTAATTGAAATAAGAGACTGGGCCGACTCCCAAACTCCACTTTTTCCTACACAATACGTACGTTATAGTAAAAAAACATCTTAATTTTATGATGGTATGCACACACAATAAATATATAAGAGAAATATCAATAATATTAGGTTTTTTAACACTTACGTTAGTAGAAAAGATGGCTGGGCACACGGGGATGGGGGGTTGGTTCCGAGGCAGAGGGCAACTTATTGGCCCTCACCTGTATCACTTGTATCAATTGTATCACTATCCACCACAGAGGCTTGCAGGGCCTTTTTGTCAAACCATATCCTCACTATCACTGACTTGGGCCGGCTGTGGTGGGTGGCGGGTGAAGAACTCGGTAATGTTTTGATGACTGGGCGACCTTGTGCGCACCCTGCCCGCGCCGCTTCCCACATAAATGATGAAATTTACCACGTAATTAAAACATTTCATTCTGGCAAGGCACCTTGTAAATGACCAAACGCGTAAACAAAAACCAAGTAAATCCAGACTATACTGTATAACATTTATTGTGTTTACTAATTTTTTGTTGGGTAAAATACAAGTTGTTTTTGTTGAAAACTATAATGCATAACTTAACTTCCTTGAAAATATGCCTTCTTTCTCCCCCTTTCAATTTTTATTTAAGTTAAAGAACAACCAATTTTACGCAGAATGTAGTTGGTTTCACACAAAAAATAAATTGGCTGTGTCGCAATATTGAGCCAAAGAATTAAAGATAAACAGGGGATCCTCGTTACCAGTGTCTTCATTATAAATGGTTTCACAGTTATGTGGTCAAATAACTGGGGATATACACGTAAAAAGTCCCTGCAGTTAAGAGGATTCCATGGCTGAAATCCGTCAATCTTTGGGAGCATACCGGTAAGTGTTTGAGCGATTGAAATTCCCGCCCATCTCCCATTCTCTTAAAGGTAATCCTTCTCACCCACACTACGCATGCTCAGTACTAGTCGCCTGTGTCCACAAGCATTATTTGAAAGGCTCCAAGAACTATAACTATCAACTTTGCTGTGTCTTTGGTGACATTGGTGGACTATTTTTGTAGCCAAAGCAAGGTGGTGTAGTGGCTAAAAGGAAGCGTAGTAGCTATGGGATGGACGTGAAATTAAAAGTTACGTCGTAAGAAAAGTGGTGAGCACGTCTCAATAAACCACTTTCACTGAAATGAGTGAGCAAGTGTGTGGTAAGGTAGCTTGCACCTCATCAATACACCAACCCCAAATGACTTTAAGTAACCTTAAATAATTTGTAAGGTTAAATAATTTCATAAATAAGGTGAAATCAAATTTTTAACAAATGTTTCATAAGTATACAGTGATCTCCAAAATTATGTGGATAATTGATGCCAACGGAGTGACGCGTACTTGGGAACCGTGAACTTGGGTACTACAGTTGGCCCTTAACATACGCGGGTTTATAATACACGGATTTGCAAATACGCGGATTGCCCCGCCGGAGGAATATTCTGTACATTGAAGTAATTGAAGTACATTCAAATCGCGCGCCATTCAACTCGCGCGCGGCACCGAACACCGCCCGCTCCCGCAACCTCACACACACACGCATAGCTCTCCCTCACTCAGTCAGTCTTGCTGTAACCACGCTTGTGTTGACATCAGCATTGTAGTTGCAAAAATATTACATTTCCGTGAATGTATTATATCAAGCACAGTTTGAATAGAATATCACTAATATAAGAGTATTTTAACCGAAAACTACTAAAAAAACGAGTAACATATCTTGAACATCGGAAGGTTAGGTAAAGTCTTTTGTTTTCATGTAGTTATCCTAATTTACATTGAAATGCATTACGTTTCAGCAAAACTACTATGTATTTCTGAGAATATGGAAATGTAATATTTTGCTGAAATGACGTATGTATTACAGTGGAAAGTGACGAAAGCAATGACTCGCTTTCTTTCGTTCAAAAGATGTTACCGTAATCGCTTTTCGAATGGTTTTCAGTTAAAAAACTGTTGTATTACAATAATATTCTATCCTAATTCACTTGTGATGCAACAGTTTTTAACTGAAAACCATTCGAAAAGCGATTACGGTAACATCTTTTGAACAAAAGAAAGCGAAAGTCATTGTTTTCGTCACGATTTTATCCCACTTTCCACTAATACGTGCGTCATTTCAGCAAAAATATTACATTTCCGTGAATGTGGTATATCAAGCACAGTATGAATATAATATCATTGTAATATAACAGTATTTTAACCGAAAACTATTAAAAAAACGAGTAACATCTCTTGAACATTGGAAGGTTAGGTAAAGTCTTTTGTTTTCGTCATGTATTTTATCCTATTTTACATTGAAATACATCACGTTTCAGCAAAACTACTATTTATTTCTGAGAATATATTCATTCAGGCACAGTTTAGGTAAAATATACATGTGCTGTAACATTTTTTTAATTGAAAACGATTCGAAAAACACGTACCCTCTAGCCCTGTTCAAGGAGAAGACTGGGAGGAGCTGTTTGGTGCTTAAGACGATGACAAGGAAAATGATTTTGATGGATTTTAATGAAAATATTCAGAAAGACCCTGGCACTGTCAAGGAAAGTGGCTGCTGAAGGCTTCCGGGACATGGCAGAGGACGAGATTAGGGAGCTAATTGAAGAGCACGACACTGAGCTGACCGAGGAGGATCTACAGGAGTTAGTAGACTCAGGCAAGGAAGAGGAAGCGAAAGGGAAAGAGGATGAGGAAGAGCACCAAGAAATAACGTTGGAGAAGTTGGGGGAGATGACCAGGAATATTGAGGCACTGAAAAACCTGGCCTATAGTATGGACCCCTCCATGGTGCGTGCCCTGAAATTCATGCGAGGGATGGATGACGTTTTCGCTCCATACAAAAACATCATGGAAGAAATGAAAGAAAGAGACGACAACTCCCCATCACCATGTTCTTTGATCACTGAAGGAGAGATTTAACACCATCAATCACTGGCGGCAGTGAGGAAGCAGCTGAATCCACCGTCGCCCCCACTTCACCACCCGTTATGGAATTGAGTGACGATGAGCCCAATGACCCCCGTCCTGTCGCCGAGGATAGGTACTGTACAGTAAAGTGAAATTTTTATCTCTTTTTTTTTTAATAGCTTTTCTTGCCATGTTTTTTGTTTGTAAAAATGCACAGCACAGTACAGTTCAGTACTGTACATAGGAAGTGGAGGTGCAGTTATTCACAAAACATTTGTGTTCGTTGTCGGCAGTAGTGACGGTGAGGAGGTGGAGGCGGCAGAGGGGGTGGAGGAGGCAGAGGAGGCAGAGGAGGTGGAGGAGGTAAAGGAGGGAGCGGAGGGAGCGAGTTGGGAGGAGTGGTGGCCTTGGACGCGGGAGCAGGGACGAGTGGAGATGCCAGCCAGTACATTACGGGTGTATTAATCGTTTTTATTGCTATTTTTGCATTTTAATATTAAATATTGTACATTACGTTTCAGCAAAACTACCATTTATTTCTGAGAACATGGAAATGTAATATTTTTGCTGAAATGATGTACGTATTACAGTGGAAAATGTGGGATAAAATTGTGACGAAAGCAATGACTTTCTCTTTCTTTCGTTCAAAAGATGTTACCGTAATCGCTTTTCGAATGGTTTTCAGTTGTGGGATTATAAGGCTAATGATAGGATAGAGTATTATTGTAATACAGTATAAGTACAACAGTTTTTTAACTGAAAACCATTCGAAAAGCGATTACGGTAAAATCTTTTGAATAACGAAAGAAAGCGAAACTCATTGTTTTCATGATTTTATCCCACTTTCCACTGTAATATGTACGTCATTCCAGCAAAAATATTATATTTCTATATTTATTTCTGAGAATATCTATATTCATTCAGTCACAGTTAAGGTAAAATATACTTGTGATGTAATATTTTAAAGAAAATATGGTATCGTAGTTTTCTTTTGTTTCAAATTTAATTAACAAAGATTGATGTTTCAAATGTAATGAACAAAAATTTATGTACAGTATCTATAAATAAACTTTAATAAACGAATACTTTGTTTTACATCGTCCTGTGCTACCATACCAC